TCTTCCTTCTACTCCGTGCGGCAGCCTCGGGGTGTGGCCCCGGGCTCCGGCCTCAGGCCGGGGCTTGAGGGTGCTGCTGTCCCGTCCCGTCCCCGGCTGGCCAGGGCTCCCTGTGAACACCTTCATTCCCTTTTGCACATCTTCATCACTTTTGTGCTCACCTTCATCCTGCTCTGCACATCTGTGCCCCCTTACACTCACCTTCGTCCCTGTGCTCACCTTCCATCCCCTTCATTGTCCTTTGCACACTCTAATGCCCTGCTGCGCATCTTTGTCCTCATCCTTATTCCCATCTCACATCTTCAACCTCCTCCGAAGACCTTCATCCCTTTCCTCATCCTCACATACACACTCAGTCCCTCACATCCCACCAGACTGCAGATTCCCCATCTCTCCCAGACACCCACCCCATGGTGCCCAGAAGGGGCATCTCAGCCCACACTGTTGTAATTTCCCAAGGGAATTCATCCAGGAGCCAAGCCATGGTCATTTTCTCTGAGCGAGCTGATGGATGGAAACGTGCTAAGCCACAGCCAGCTGATGGCATAAGAGTCCCTGGCCACGACGCAGCCCCACCGTCAGGAGCCACAGCCCCAGTAGGGGCAAAACCTCTGGTCCTGCCAGATGAAGATGTGCAGCACAGACCTTTGCTGTGGTACCCAAGACTCACAGAGAGGACTACTCCCACTGGCCTCGCTTGGAGAAGGGATGCTCTTTGCATCCCATCCCTTCTAGAAACATATTTTTCCAGTTTTCATGATGAGCTTGGTTGTATTCAGGCATTTTGGGACAAGCCAACTCTTCAGCCCATGAAGTGACAGGCTCTGAAGCATCCAGCACATTCAGCAATTGTGTGTGATTCATAAAGCCATATCGCATTCTTCCACCCTTGGCCTGGTGCTAACTTGTAAGAAATCTGGACCAAAAACTGTAACAAAATGGCTGCTATTCTCCAAGGGCTATTCGGAGTCTTGTTACTCATCCCTTACTTGGGCAAAAATGACATTGAGTGCTCCTGCAGATGACAGCCTTAATTGAGTTCAATAGTAGTTTAGGCTGAGTAAAGCATGAGCAAACAAGTGTGCATTAGCCCATGAATAAAAGCCTGATCTGCAAACGTTTAGAAACACATGTAACACTGCGCAGGGGAGTACCAAGGCAGTCACTGCTGCTCTGGGCCTGCCGAGCAGGCAGGGGTCTCACTTCAGCGTCCAATGCAACTGCTAGTGGTGCTGGGATGAGCTTGTTCTGGAGTGCAGTGATTTGAGCCCAGCTCAGTGGTTTGTGTCTGTTCTGCTTCTTTTTTTCTCTCTCCTTCAGAAGTCCATAATCCATGTTTCTGCTTTTTTTTTTTTTTGTCCACTGGTGGGAACAGCAACTTCCTTTCCCAAATTATAATATAAAAGAGCTGCAAGCTGCAATGCCATAAATAATATTTTCTTATGGCCAGAACATCCAAGTCTAGGCAAGACACCAAGAACAGCTACAACATTGTAAAACTCCAACACTTCTCTAGAATAGATTCACTAATTAAAAAATTACTCCTTTTAAAAAACAGTTGAAAAATATTGGCTTTCCCATTGCTGCCTGTTGCTTGCTGCACCAAGAAGGAGCCTATCCTGCAAAGCCACAGCCCAGCTGACCAGCAATAAGTCTGCCTTTCCCTCTAAAAAATGTCACCAAAAGAAATATAAGGGGAGGGGAAGGGTAGAGAAGAGAAAAATACCTCATCAAAATCACTTCTTTAATTAATTAATGTATCACCACTTCAAAGCTGAAGAGAGAGCCCCCAGGGCTGAGACGCTGTTCTTTGCTAGGGAAGTTGCTGGGAACCAAACAGCTCCAGCCCTTCTGTTGCTGGACGAGGAGTTTCCTGGTGCTGGCCTCCGCTCCCACACCTGCTGAGATGCACCAACCCTTTCCTTTTTCAGCTGACTGCCCTACTGGACATTTGCCTTCTGGAAAATATCTGTCAGCCCCCCAAAGAGTGCAGGGGTTAAGCCTTTGCTCAGGGCTGGGTATATGGAGCCCACTGAGCCCCAGAGGTCTCGGGAAAGGGGAGTAGCAAGCAACTGGAGAAGAACCTCCCACATCCATCTTCCTGATCAGCTCTAGACGAGCATCTTTCCACTCATGAGCATGGGATGGGGATACCAGCAACCACTGCCTGAGAGAGTCGATGGCACCATAGCAACACTGGTCCTAACTGGGACACGTGCTCAGCATTGAAGTAGGGCCTTTTTTTTTTCCTTCCCTTTGCCTTATAAGCATCTCTGCAAAAATAAAATGCTTTTCCTAGGAGGTTCTCTTGAGGAGCTGATGACAGTCGACCCTGGCCATGCTTGTGCCCTTGCACCAGCACTTTGTGGGGTTAAAAATACATCCCTGTAGCACCAGCCTAATACCAGCACCCTAAAAATGAAGCTTCAGAAACCTCAAAGTCTCATGCTGCAGGGAAAATATCATCCCTGGGGACTGACAAAACCCTATCTCCAAGGAAGACACACACTTTGGGCTCAAACACCATTGATAAGGCTCTCCTCTATTTTTTTCCTCTTTTCTTGCAGTGAGCATTCCTTTCACACCCACGCACACCCCAGCACCCTCAGCCATTGGTTTTCTGGCGCATCTGTCACACTTTCCGCCGGCCAAAGTAGATACACATTTCAACTGCTTCCATCCCTCCTCTCCTCTGGTGTTAACAGCCAGCGCAAACAAAGGGCCCAAATATCCATCGCCCTCTTAAATTGTTTTCATTTGTTTCTTGTGCTGCAGTTGGTTTGCATTAGAGGGTTTGTGTAAGGGATTCGGGGTGGGCAACTGATGCAGTGACAGCTCTGAGATGGGGTGACATTGTGTTGGATACCCAAGGCAGATATTTTACTCTGCTTAGGCTACAGGAAACCTGAGGGATTTGCAAGAAACAACGGGCAAAATGGAGACTTTTTGGATGAGGGGAGGGAGAATCATCCTGGGGAGCAGCTGGGATAACAGCAGCTTGTGCTCCAGCCAGAACCTGGGGAGCCCAAACCCCTCTCTCTCACTCTGCTGCTTCTTTTCCGCCTCTACTGGAGGACACAGGGACAAGTGTTGGCTCAACCATCAGCTGAGCTTGTCCCAGTTTCAAACATGTTGGGTTCATGGCTAGATTTGGGCAGAAAGCTCTTGCTTTCCCCGCATTTGCTGGCCACATCTCATGGGGCATGCTGGCCCTGAACTGCTGTGGCTGATTCTCCCTTTAGCTCACAAGACGGTCTCTGATTTCACTGCATGGGTAATGGACAATGTCCCACGCCAGCCTGTTGTCCCCCAAGCTGTCCATCTCCGTCTGCCCTTGCCATGAGTGTCTGCTCATGAATCATGGAGCCCACATTCATGCAGCTGGTGGGAAAATCTCCACTGTCATCTGCAAAGCTATTGGGGCAAGATGTTCAGCAGCAGTCCAGCAGCAGCTCATACTCCCACTGTCACTGTCACCTGTCCTTAGCTCCACAGAGAGACAAGTTCGGGCCATGTTGGTGTTGCAACACTGCCCAGTGAGGATGAGCATCCGTCTTGCATAACTGCATCTGTCTCATCCATCTACTACTCCTCAGCCCAACTGCTCCAGCTATCTCTCAGATGCATTAACTTGAGGGGCTCAGATCACCCCCAGAATGGGGGTGTGTCCTGGGAAAGGAAGCCCAAATTGTCCTGGGGTCAGTGCATTAGCTGAGCTGGTAAGAGGAACAGCTCAGGGAGCTGAGGATGGTGTTTCAGGGGACCTTGGCATGTCCCTGTGTTTCTTACCACTGAATTAATCAGGTTGGGGACTGTCTTCGAAGCCAAATCCTCACTCCGTAAAGATGAGATTGTACTGGAAATAGGAGCATGGGCTGATCTGCTCCCATTGAGCTAACCCCTCTCCAGCATCTCCCCTTCCCCCTGTCTCCCTGTAGCTCCCTATGATGCCTCACCAGTCTGAGACAGGGGGTGGCACCTTCTGGCCACCACCTCCCCATGAACAAGGAGCACCAGTGGGGCCAGTTGCAGCAGTGGGGACACCCACGATGTGTGGGGTCTGGAGGGATGTTGCAGAGTGAAGGGGCAGTGAGTGGGAGAGGTATAGGGGGTTTGGCAGGGCCTGTCTGGGTGCTGAGTGTGACTCAGCACCGCACCACACCTCATGAGTCACTCCATTGCTTCCTGGTGCACCCTCAGTTTTCTCTTCCCCGTCCCTCCTGAAGAACTGACCCAGCTGAGCCCCCTGCCAACAATGCCAGCTCTGCCTCACGTGGCTGCCAGCCCTCCTCCGTTGGCACCACCATTCCTCAGCACGTGCCTACAGGCTGTCAGTGCTCTGAGTGCCAGGCTGCTTCTCAGGGACCTAAATCCCCAGCAGTTTCTCAGCAGCAGGGTGACCTGGCAGGTGAAAAGATACCATGGGCACTGGGCATCCACTCACACCAGGACAAAATGGGGCAAAACAGGGGCTTTGTGCCCAGTGGGCATCGAGCCAGGATGGGGATCTCTAGCTGGGAACTTGGGCAGAGCCCACCTGCACGGGGGCTCTGTGCAGACTCACAGAGGGATGAAGAAACACAAATCAAGGAGACCATCTACCCCCTCTCACTGGGGGACTGAGCATAAAAATATAAATCAGAATCTAAAAAAATAAAAGGAGGGGATGAGTTACCAGGATCTGAGTCCAAGAAACATCTCAAAGGGATGAGATAGGGATCATAGTCAGCCTCATCTGCTAAATATACCTCAGGCTTGACTCTGCCATCACCCCAGACCAGCGATCTGTCCTGAATTTGCCCAGAGAGGGTGGCTGTGGCTGGATGAGTATCCCATGATGCTTGGCAAGCACCGTGCTCTGTGAACCACCCCAGGAGCAACTGTGAGCATGCACTGGACAGAAGGTGGGAACGCAGGGAAAGGAACAGGACAGGGATGCAGGAGCATCTGCCGGGCACTGGCAGGTGGTCCCAGTGGTCCCGGCAGGCTCAGTGCAGGTGCTACTCGCAGGCCAGTTTCCCATCAAAGCTGGAGAGGGCGATGGCAAAGGCCTGCACAGCACAGAGAGGGTAGTTGTAGTCCATGGTGAAGGCATCATCCGCCACACGCCCAAACTGCATCACGATGTAGTCGGCTGTGGGAAAGAGGGTGAGCAACTGGAATGTCACCTGTGCACCCATCCTGCCTTTTCCCAGGGCACCCATGCAGCAGCATCTGAAAGAAGCTGCCCACCCCCCAGCCCCAAGCTCTGCCTGCAACTTCCAGACCGGCTGTGCCATACTGCAACACGTTATCAAAAAGCATCATTTTCCCATTGCACAATCCAGCACACGGACCACGGCACCCTCTGGTCCCTCCAGAACCCCGTCCCTGGGAGTCACAGCCCCCCAAGGGACAGGGACCCCACTCACACTCCCACCCCCTGACTGTGGGACTGCTGCTACTGGAGGGCGGGTGACAGGAAATCTGTAAAAATAACCAGGGGCCCTCAAGAGGTTTTTTCTGTCCAGTAACCCAACACCCCAGAGGCTGAGAGCTTCTGACTGTACCAGACAGGTGACAAGTGGCCACATCCAGACAGAGTTGCTGCCACCCCTGAGGGACTGTCCCCAAGGTACTGTGCAGCTCGGGCTGAGCCCACTGGCGATCTGGGGTGTGTGCTGGGTCTAAAGCTCTGGGGTGTTCTGAACTGAGTGGGTGGTTGTAGTGTGATGGGGGCCTCAGCACCCCGTAGGATCTGTCCTTGCCCTAATCTCTGTGGCAACAGGAGCCCTGCACACTGCCTCTGCCAGTGCTGTGGCCTGAGGGCAGCTCCTGCACAATGCCGTTCTCCCTGTCTGGCTTCATCCCAGCTCCAGCAAAGTCAGGCAGGACCCCAAAGTATGAAAAAACTAAACCTTAGCAAAAAAAGTGGGTGCTGGGGCCAGTTCAAGAGGCAGTGCTTCCCCACCCCGTCCCCCTATCCCATCCCACCCCCCTTCCCAGCTTACGGTCGCTGCCATGAACAATCTGAAAATTTTTGACAGAGGCATGGGTGACCCGGCCATGGAAGTTGAGGACATAGGATTGAGTCTCATCGTTCCACACTGGTGCCTTGTTGTGCAGCTCAATTACATTGTCCATGTTTCTGTTCTGCCATCGCATCAGGAGGCCGTCGTTATCCTGGGGAGGGGCAAGAGCAGGGAGAGCGAGGTTAGGGCAACTTCCCCCAGCACCCTGGCACCCTCTGTGGAGTGCCTGGGGGGATGCTCTGTAGCAGTACCCACATGGAAATGGAATCTGTCACAGACAAAAAAATACAGACAGTGTCTCCCCCCTCCCAGGTAAGTGCCTTGAATTTCAGAGACACCTGAAAGCCTCTCCGTGCTCCAAACTGGTAAAATCTAAGGTGATCCCTGGCAAACCCAGCCCCCAAGGAGTTTTGGCCAGCCTGGCCCCTGACTTACATTTCGGGGACGGATGGGCACCCTCTCACCGTCAGCATTCATCCCAGGGATGATGACCGTCATCTTCCGGGGACCTTTGAAGCCTAAAACATTGGTCTCCTGCAAGAGAAACCCCATCTCTAAAACCAGCAACCACCACGGGTTGCAGCCTCTCAGGGGGCTGAACAAGGACTTAGGGATGGCTCCAGCCCATCCCACATCTCTGCAACTCCCCTGGGGCAGCACTCAGTGAATGGGTGCAGGTTGGGACCCCCTCGCTGCCTGCCCAGGAGGTCCAGGGGGGCTTCCCGCGCTGCTGCTTACATAGACCACGGCCGAAAGCTCCTGCCGCACATTGGACCAGTCAGCATTGGCTCTGTCAGGGTTTGCACCATTGTCGAACACTGTGAACCTTGTACCCATCAGGTTGGATCTGCAGCCAAGGGTGAGAGATGGTTGTGGCTGATGTGGCTGATGCCACTGAGTCCACTACAGCCCCCCTCTGACCCCTCTCCAGGCACAGCCTTTGCTTTGGTCTAGCTGCAAATCCCTGATGCAGCCCCCAGCCAGTGCCATCCTTCCCACTCTTTAGGCACTTGCTGTGGTTCAAGGCACCCTTAAATCAGGGTGTTACAGGGTGTTGCCACTACAGGGATCCCCCAGCACTGCTGTGTGGCTGCTGGTGATACAGTGGGCTGGGACTTGCTGGGTACCTTTTCTAGCCATGACCTGTCTGCTGGGAGGAACCGGACAAGCCTGTTTTCCCCCTCTCAGCCCCCTGCCACTCCTCAGGTCAGACCCAGCAGTGGGAAATGCTGAATTTAGCCTTCTGTCTGACCCAGCCATTGCTTGGGGCAGCCCATAATCCATGGGTGGGAATAGGGTGCTGCGGGAATGGGATGCCACCTCTGCTCCTACCTCAGCTTCCCAATGAAGTTCTCTCCTCCCCGTGACAGGTCAGTGGGGTCGATGGAGATGAGGTAGTTGGAGGTTTTGCTCTTCTTACGCTTCCTCCCAGCAAGGAGGAACACCTGGTAGAGCGGTTGGACCATGTGACGATTGGACACTGTCACTGCCATCGACACTGCTGTCCCTGGCTTGCCCCCCAACAGGTCACTGCCATGACTTTGAGCGTCACGGAGTGAAGAAACACTAACTGTATTTGGCATACTGCACTGCCATAGGGCAAGAGGGACTGAGCCCAGCCCAGCATTAGCATGGCTCTCTAGCCGATGCTAGGTCATCATCCCGGGTACCATCAACGGTGGGCATTTCCCAAAAGGAATTGCAGGAGAGGGAAGCACCCCATATAGAACCCACTACCACAGTGGGATACAGGCGAGCATCCCCTCAAAACCCTGAGAATGCTCCCCAGGACAGATGCAGGGCCCCATGAGTCTCCATGCCCTCACCCTAACTAACCTTCTTGTCATTATCCAAATGAAGGTAATAGGTGGGGTAAAGCCCCCGGTCCATCCCCTTCTTGTCCCGTGTGACCCGGCACTTGATAGTCACCCCCTGCGGTGCCGGCTGCAGCACAAACTCCTCCAGGTTGTCGACCTCAATGACAGGTGATGGGGGCCTCTCCTCCTTCAGCTGCTTCATGAGAGGGGATAGTGATCCCAAAGTCAAACCTGCTGAAAGCCCCCTCTCCTTTCCCAGCTAATTGCTCCTTGCTTCCACTCCTCCCTGGGCTGTGGCCCTGCAGCTGATGGCTTTGGGGATGGTGCTGCAGTGGGTCTTGCTGGGGGACGCTGCTGCCTCCCAGCTTACCCTGGGTGGAAGAGTTGCTCTTCCCCCCCCACCCCAAGGGGGCCCCCATAGCTCTGAGGGGTCCTTTGTACCTTCTTTGATTTCTTTGCTTTCCCCTTCTTGTTGGAGTTTTTCTGCAGGCTTTCCAGGGTCTCCTCCTCACTCTCAGCCCCTTTGGGAGGAACTGCAGGCAGGAACAGGCAAGGGCACAGAAGGGGGAAGATCCTGACTCTGCTGAGCCCCAAAATCAAGCTCGGCATAGACACATGCCAACACCATTGATCATAACCGCCATCCTTCATGACCAAGCTCACTTGCACTCCCAGAAGCCCCTCCAGCACATACCACCCTCCATCACCAGTGATGGGCTCTCACCTTTCTTTTTGGATTTTTTCTCCTTGGGGGGATCCCCACCAGTCTGGAAGAGGGACGCCGGGTTTTTCTTCTTCTCTGACCTGATAGGTTTGGTGCTGGAGTCGGAATCATCCTCCTCATCACTGCTGGTGGTGGCTGTGAGGGAGATGGGGGACACGGTCATGCAGCACTGGGTGCTGTAGGCTCTAGGTGATGTTCTTGGGCAGCAGGACTGGATGCCTCCCCCTCCTGCTCACCCCATACCTTTCTTCTTGGTTTTCTTCTCCTTCTTCACCTGAAACACGGACATTTGCTCCTTCTTGGTGCTTTTGGCAGATCTGGCTTTGCTGTCAGGGTCACTCTTGTCTCCTGGTGGGACAGAGGAGCTGATGAGCAGTCAGAACAGGCAGTGATGAGGACAGGGAGGCAGCAAGGTGGAGGCAGTGGGACGGGCTGGGTTGGGGGTAGATTGAATGGACAGGGGGCGATTGCTCCGCAGCACCTTGAGCCTGCCGGGACAGTGGTGGGAAGAGGATGCAGGCAGTTCCCTCATCCCAGCGAGGACAGATGCAAATGACTGAAGCCATCCCTGCCCCTGGATACTCACCCTTCGGCTTCAGCTTCTTCTCCCGGCTGTCTCCTGAGGGAGGGTCTTTAGGAAGCTTCTTTTTGAGCTTTTTTGGCGGGTCTTTATTCTCCACCTCCTCTTCCTCCTCATCCTCAGCCAGCTCTGCCCAGAGGTGACACCACAACATCAGCAACGCAATGTCCTCTTGCAGCGGGGACCCCCAGCCTCGTGGTTTGTGAGGAAGGATCCTCTCGCGACAACACCGGCCGGAACGGACACTCATCCTGTCCCAGCCGGGGTGCGGGGCCGTGGGTCCCGTCCTGTCCCGTCCGCGGTGTCCAACTGCGCGTGGGACGTGTCCGGAGCCGGACGGTGCCGGCGCAGTCCCAGCGCCCTCTCGCGGCTGCAGCCCCGGGTGCAGAGGAGGGGGTCAAGCCCCATCTTTTCCCTCCAGGAAGGTGGCTGGGGACCCGATGGCACTGGCAAGCCGCCAACTGCCACAATCCCAGGGAGTGTGCCCCCCCCCCCCACTGCCTCCCCCCGGTCCCAACTCCCTAGCCAAGGCCATGATTGCAGGTCCCCTGCCACATCCCCATTCCTCCAAGGTCTGTAGCTGGGTTTTGGCCAAAAAGCTCTACCAGGGATGTGCAGAAGCCCAGCAGACCCCGAAAGCATCAACGGCTCTGGTGGGACATGGTGCATGGGGACATGAGGTGCCATGAGCCTGCAGAGAGGTGGGTGCTGTCCCCACACCTTGCTGCTTCCTGGGGCCCTTGGACACATGAGAGCGAGGTGCTGGGCTTTCCTTCTTCTTCCGAGGCTCCCTGGTGAATTTGGAATAGGGGTCCTTGTCGCTCTCCTCCTCTCCCTTCTCCTCCTTCTTCTTCCTCAGCTTCTTCACCCCTGCACATTTCAAGAGATGCCCATGATGGAGAGAATGGCAGGTGCAGGATGGGGCCACAGCAGGTTTGCGGGGGGTGGAGGTGGTGGGGTGGGGGGTGGAGTGGAGCAGTATATCCTCCCATTTCCAAGGAAGCTGTGGTGATCTGTGCTCACCCTGTGCTGGGGCATGTGGCTCCTCGACAGCCCCTGCCTCACCCGGCTTCTTCACTCGCAGCCGCCTTGGCTTGGCCTCAGGCTCCATTCCAGGTTCCTGCCTCTTCTTCTTCAGCTTCTGCCCCCACAGATGGTGCTGCAGAGGTGGTGCTGGCCTTAAATCTCTTTTCCCTTTGCAAGGCAACCCCTGCCCATACAGCACCGGCTCCCTTTCGGAAGTACAGCCATGCTTTTCCCTGGCCCAGAATGGAAGCAAGGACCCGCTGTGGGGTATGGACGCACACTTTCAAATGAGTGACTTACCATGGGGCAACCCCCCAAGGAAGGCATAGGAAGGAAAACAGAAAGGACTGTTAGCAGACAGACAGAAGAGCATCCACCCTGGGACAGGCAGCCATGTGCCAGCCCCAGAGACAAGCGATTGACAAGTGGTGCTGACACTGCCCTGACACCATGGACCAGGTCAGCACAGAGGAACAAGCCACACTGTGCCACAGGGACCCTGGCTGAGAGCTACTCTGGGCACTGATGGGCACTCTGGGTACCTGAGCTGTGACAGGGTACGTGAGGAAGGACAGACAGCCTTGCTCCTCACCTCCATCTCTCACCCAGCAAAAGGAACTGCAGGGCCTTGTTGGGATGGAGGTCAGCAGGAGCAAGGAAGCAGGAGGATTAGACACAGCATACCTAATCCCAGCTAGCTGGGGCTATAAATAACCCTGATTTACCAAATACAGAGCATGTGGATCAGCACTTGGCTCTGGAAAGGAGGTATTTGAGGAGTGGGTGTCAGTTCAGGGCCCTCAGAAAGCAATCTAAGCAAATCCAGATGGACTAGAGCTTTCCCTATCTAAGAGAACATCTTCCCCTTCATAGGGATTTTGTTCCTCCCAGATGCTCCAGTGCAGTGGGTGAAGGTGTTTTGCAAAAGGTGCAATCCAGGCAGATCCCAGTGGGATCCCAGGACTGCAAATTTGGGGAGGGGGAGCTGGGAGTCCCACGGTGAAGCTGGGAACCAGCTGTTTTCTTCCATGTCAGCAGCTCACACTGAAAAGCTCTTTCACATCCCCTAATCCCTTAAGCAGCTGCAGGGAGGACAGCCACTTGTTACTTAACGAAGCCCTTCGAGGAGGGGCTGTTGATTAAATTGGGTGATAGATGAAATTGCTGCTGAGACCCCTCCAAGGCTGGGTGGTACATGAGGGCTGTGCCAAAATGCAAGAAGGAGGTCTGGCTTTCAGGGTCACAGCCTGGGGAAAGTGAGTCACAGCTGAGAGCTTAACTGAGGGGCTTAATTAAAGTGTTAGCTAGGAACTAGGAAACCCCCACATGGGGTGCTTCAAAGTGATGGAAAGGGGGTTCAGAAGGATGCACAAAGGAGAAGGGAGGGCTGTGGGATTTTCTCTACCCACCTGCTCTGAAGGGGGTTCCCAAAAACTTCATGCCCTCCTAGGCAGCAGCACCCCAATAGAGAGCCCATCCAGCCCCTAGTCAGCCTTGGTGTGGGGCCCCAGGGCTTCAGGGCCTCTGATGACCCCAGCCCTTGAGGACAGCCCACAGCAGGGAATGGTAGCACATAGGATAGAGGGGAAGGATTTTTTCTCACCTGTTTGGGCTTCTGCTGCTGGGGACTCCCCGGCTCCTCGCTGGGACTGTGGGGCACAGAAAGCAAAGCGGTGAGGGCTTTCAGACCTCCACAGACCCTGAGGAGCATGAGACTGCCCCAATTTTTGGTGAAGGGGGAAAGGTCAGTCTTTCATATGACTCCAGAAGCATTTCCCCCATCTCGACTGAGTCAAGCTTGTCCGACATCATTCTTCCTAGCAGGGAGCACAGGACAGGCTCTGACTTGGCCAAGGATGACAGCAAGGGGATCCCCCTCTAACAAACCCTTTTCCTCTCTGTAAGTCAATGAGCATCATCACACCAACCCCTGAAGCAAAAAGACTGTGATAAAACTGCTCATTAAATTGCATTTAAATTGAAAATAGGAGAAAAAAGCACTGGAGGAGATGGGAGTCTGGTGGGGATGCGACCAGCACAGGTCACATCCTGCCCAGTGGCACTCACCTGTCTGCAGCCCAGACCTCACGCAGAATCTCCGTCTGCAGCGGCATTGCTTCCTCTGTCCTGCCCGGATTGCCTTCCCTTCTCTCTGGCAACAGCTTCTGGTCCTCCAGCCCCTACCAGCCCAGGACCAGATCCATGAGGTCATTCACAGCCACAATAGTCCGAGTGCTCTTACAGCATTGGCTCAGCCACCTCCACAAGCCTCTGCGGTGGGAGGAGGAGAAGGAGGAGGAGGAGGAAGAGCAGGTGAAGCAGATGATTAACTTTATTTCTCTTGAAACTCAGTTAATAGGATTTCAGGGGCTGTCAGCCAGGCTTGCTGGGAGAGCAGCTGGCAGGGTAGTAATCACAGGAAAGGGGGCTCTGCAGGAATGCGGGGGGTGCAGAGCTCCTCCCTTGCTAGGTGGGGTCCTCAACACACTACAGTCCAGTGTGGGCAGAGGAATGCTGTCTGACTGTAATTAGGGTTATCCACCCTGGATATTCTTTTTTTTTTTTTCCAACCAAAAAGTCTTCTTGGTGAGAGAACAGCAGGAATTGGACTGTTTTGTGTGAGTTGTGCCTGGAAAGCCCATGCAGGGGAAGGCAACATCTCTGGCTCCAGGCGGTGCTAAGGGTTTCCATACGGCCCACCGCTTTCCTTCAACCCCTGTCCATGTCCCCAGGTATCTTTGGGTGATGAGATTCACCCCTGCAGCTCACACCTCACCTCGTTATTATGTCACTTAATATTTAGTTCTTAATATTCCCCTCAAAGGCCCCCGCAGATGCTGTTTGGTTGCAAAGCCAGACAAGCCAAGTGTCCCCACCGGACCCCTGGCCTTGCCCCGTCTACCACAGTCACCCCAAAACACCCGCCACACCGTGCCCGGTGCCACTAGATGGCATTTGAGCACCGCACACCGAGACCCACCAGCATCGCAAACTTTCGATGCCTCCGTACAAAATCCTCCTGGTTTCCCTTTAATCTCTAAACCATATCACATCACCTACGTAAGTTTAATTTCTCTTCCAAGGGGTAGAAAAACACCAAGCTAAAATACACCAAGAGTCTCCTTGAAAACGGGAAGCAAGCCTGGAAACCGCAAAGTGAGGGTTTTTTTTTTCTGTAGAGATTGTTACCTATGGACAATGGGGTTTGGGCTGCCCCCAAAGGACTTTTTGCCCGCCCCAAAAAAAAAAAAAAAAAAAAAAAAAAGTTTTGCCAAGATCCTGGGTCTCACAGCAGCTTCCCTGGGCAGCACCCCTAGGGATGCCTTGCTGACTCTAGGACATCCCAGGGTGGTGAAAAACCCAAGACCTGGACGAACAGCTGGAGCAGCAGACCCCCAAAGAGCCAGGACTTTTCGAAGCACAGCATGCTGGCCCTTCACTGGCTCTCCAGTGAATGATGGCACTGATGAAAAGGGGCAGCAGCATCAGATTTTGGAGACAGCAATAATTTCTTAATTGCTGGGGCATTTCCACCTGGGGAGTACGCACCTATCCTCCCCACAGCCACCCCCTTTGCTGAGCAGGATCCAGAGAAAAGTACTTCTTTTTTTTTTCCTTTCAGTTGTTTATTTTCAAGCTCTAAAAGGCATATTACAAAGAGACAGGAAAAATAACAACTGGAAAGCTGTTCTCACACAGAAGTGACAGCATCCCTTTAGGATGGAGAGGGTTGATGGCTGAGGAGGCAGCAGCACCGGTGCAAGGACACGATGCACTTGGGACCTCCTCACCATGGGAAAGCAGTTCACTGACAAGCTACAAACCCATGGGACCAGCTCAGAGCCAGTCGCCTTCTGAACCACATGTCAACCTGTTATTTTCTCTAGGTATGGATCCCAAATAAGCAATAAGACTCCCATTTGAAGTCAGGAGCCAAGAGATGGGGTGCAGGCTGCAGGTTGACTGCCTGTGAACCTGGATAGGCTTTTATTCTCTAAAGAAATAGAAATCAGCTTCTTCAGAAGATAAAATCTCTGTGTGTCCCCTTCCCCAAACAGTGCTTGACAAATTATATCCCTGCACTGAGGGGCTGCAGTGGAGGTGATGTGGGTCCTCACACTGAGCCTGGCTCCACTTTGCAACCCCTTTTGCCACAGGCAACAATTCAGCAGGAGAGAAAGCCAACCACCACGGGTGAGTGAGCCCCAGGGGCCATGCCGTCAGCCAGCCCTGGGCTCCCAGCATGCCCATGACTCAGCGCTGCCCTGCGCGCTCAGGGCTGGTGCTGGGGCAGTGCAGCCTGGTCATGGGCCAGATACAACCAGAGGCAGCACTGCAGTGTACGAGGAGCATGTCCCACATCCCAGCGCATCTCAGAGGACCCGGGATGCTGTGCTGACAGTGGATATAAACCCAAGGGAGCTGGGAAAAGCTGTCTGCAAAAACCTCCCAAGAGCTAAGAGTTTTAATTTATTATTTTTTTCTTTTTCTTGCTCTTTAAAAGCTATTTGTTCCACATGCGGTGGTCCCTTGGCATCCTGCCGCTCCTGGTCTGTCTGTGAGCGCATCCAGGCGTTAGGATGGGGTTTGTTTTTCTTTGCGAGGTGCTTTTTGCTTCCACAATCACACAAACTGTAACAAGCTCTTACAAGAAAACACTGGCGAGTTCCGAGGTTTGGCAGAAACCTTTTTCTGTGCGGGCCAAGGGCAGGAGGCTCTCCCATCCCCTCCTCCTCCGTCATACATGTCCTTCAGCCTCTTCATCTTCAGCACCAGGAGTTTTCAGTCCTTTTTCACAAGCGGCCTTCTCTGCTGCTCTTTCCACCCCGCTTTTGCTAGCTGCTTCCTGCCAAACAGCAAATAAAGCACAGCGAGTTGGAAATAGGAAAAGGAAGAAGCAAGCAGGTGACAGTGATGCTGGGGATAGGCAGAGGCAGTCAAGCCTGGAAGGGCAGGCAAAATTGTCCCCCACAGCTCCCCCATGCTTATCAAATACCACAGCCTACACCAGAGGGTCCTGTTTCTCAGTGGCTGGTAGAGGCTAAACCTTACCAGCTCAGCCAGCTTTTGGGGAAGGTATGGGCCCCTGGGAATGATGTGACCCACCTCAACAGAAGCAGAGCACTGACATGGAGTGAGCCTGGACATATGGATGCAGAGGCACAGAAGAGAGGGACAAGGAGGTAAGGCAGCAGCACTGGAGTGGAGTCACAGGTGCAGCCTGTCCACCCAGCTGGAGGTATAGCATGTACAGCTGGTCATGGTGTAGCCCACCCACCCAACTGTGGGAGCAACCCATCCAGTGGGTGCAGGAGAGGAGTACTAAGGCATGGAGAAATCTTATACCTGCTCAAGCAGTGCCTTTTCCTATCACAACCAGCTGCACAAGCCAACCACAGTGCCAGCAGCTGGCCAGGGCAGCTCCACTCCCCACCCAAGCCAGTTGCCCCAGCATGCTGCTCCCCAGAGTCTGCACTGGTCACTTAATCCACAGCCTCAACCTTCAGGCACCAGTTCAGAAGAGCTTATACTAAAAATGACCCACACAGATAGCTTGCAAAGCTGTGTCCTCTCTCATTACAGTACACTGGGTTTCCAGTGGAATTTTGGATGAGAGCCTGTTATGAGACAGCAATCTCTCCATATGAGCAGAGGAGCAGGCTATTGCCTTACCAACTTCAGGAAATCCACCCTATCATGTCTCAAAATACCCTTGGCCTTGTCAGAGATGGAATGATACTTCATTTTACTGGTGACCAAGAGTTCATCAACACTCACTAGCTGGGAACAGCAAAATTAAATACCAATGCTGACCCTTTTATCAGCCCATGTGAGCTCACATTGCAAATCTTTATATTGATGACGGAGCATCTGATGGCAACCTCTGCACAAGAGAGACCAAGAAGTAAAATGCTTCCTCCCGTTGCAGCAGGTTCTATCCCTCCATCCTCAGCCTGATCTATAATTTAACTTGGTTTAACCCATCTCTTCTCAACACAAGCCTGACGAGCATCCCTCAGTGCAGCCTGCTACATGGCCAAAAACGGGCAACAGTCACCTTTGCATCCCTCTCTGCAAACTTTGCGAACATGTTTGCGTAGATCCTCCGGTCTCGGTCATTGTGCTCCTTCGTTTTCTTCTGGCACACAGAGATCTGAGATTTTGCTGCTTTGTTCTGTGGATTCACTTCCAGCACTTTTTGAAAGTCACATTTTGCCAGCTCGAACTCATTCATCAATAACCTGGCTTCACCCCTTCGGTACAAGCCCTTCTCATTGTCCTGGTCCAGTCCCAGTGCCTGGAAACACACAAGTCCCCTTAGCACCCTGGAGCTCTCCCAAAAAATTTAATGGTCAAAGCCTCACTAAATCTGTCAAAATTAGGGCAAGGTGGCTTCAAGTCTCCAGAGCACTTGCATCTTGCTCAACAAAAATTGCCTCATCTCCATCAGCAGATGGCAGATCATCAATATAGATTTTTATTTCTCCTTGCATAAAATAACCCTGAGTGTGACAGTCAGTGGGAGACAAATCCACAGGCAAGAAATCAGGTGTAAACACTAAACCCAGGCCCTTTTGTCTCCCTGTTTTAGCAATGACATTATTTTCCTTTAGTAAAAGCCATATATGCACCTCAGACATGATTTACTTTTTAGATTACGACAACTAGGTTTATTAGCTTTCCCACATGCAAGATGCTTAAATTTAAGCCTTTTATAAAAGAATTCAGAGTCACCTGACAAAGACAAGGTCAAAGATCTTTTAGGGACTGGCAAAGCTCCATCCCACCCCTCAACTGGCTTGGAGATCCACTGCAGCTCCACAGAGCCTGCCTCTGTCACACCCAGAGAAGAACCCAGTGCCCAGACCCAGTCTAAGAAGATCTAAACAGCACCCCAAGGCTGTCAGTCTACACATATCCAGTCTCATGGACCTGGCTTAGGAAGAAAAGCTGTTGTAAACACATGCCCAGGTGGATTTTGAACCCCAAAAGGCACTTTTGGTCCTAAGCACAGCATCCATGAAGACCTTGAGGTGCGGAAGGGGCATCATGCCATCATCCCATTGCTGTTTGGAAATTCCTTCTTATATGAAAATAAATCAAAAGAATCCTAAAAAACTCCCATTGGAAACAAGCAGGAGAAGAGGATGCTCCATCCCCAGGGCTCATGCACCTCTACCTTATCACAGCACTCGACAGCTTTGGCATACTCTCGCAACTTCAGGTAGCACATGGCCAAGTTGAGAAAAGCAGCCAAGAGGAAGGAGTCAGAGGCTTTTGACTCTTTTTCGGACAAGCCATACTCCATTTCCAGCCAGGACACAATCTTCCCATACTGAATCACTGCCTGCAGGTACTTGCCTTCCTGGAATGGAGCAAAGAAGAGGTTAGAAGAACCCAAGCGACAACACTCAGTCTGTTCCCGGAACATCTCGCAACAGGTTACAAGTGTAATGTGGTGTGTTCAATAAATAAATGAAAGAAGGACGATGCTGAACACCTACAAAAACAGCAGGCTTGGGAAAAGCCGAGTCAGAGCAGTGGGGAGGACTGGGATGCCCCAGCTGCGACGGGGAACTCCAAAGACTCTCTGCATTAGCCCTGTCCCAGGAAGGGTTCAATCTGCTGTCCTGCTCTTCCGGGAGCACACACAGCCAAAGTAACACTGGGAAAGGAGGAGATATCTCAGGGAGCATCAAGGAGTGAGAAAAAGACAGAGGGAGGGCAGGACTCGCCTTCCCCAGCACTGTCTGGGGATGCATGGCTTCTCTAACACTGACGGCTGCCAAGTTATGTATCTGATGTCACCCCAAAATAATTTCCGGCTCCCTTCCTTCACCTCTGCCATCCCCAAGTTCACAAACCTTGAAGTACATCGTGCCCTTCTCCTTGACGACGGCAGCCTGCTCCAGCTTCTCTTTGGTGTCCATCTCCCACGACTCCTTGGCCTGCAAACGAATGCTTGGAGCACTCCCAGGGGAGTGCAGCAGCACCCCTCCCCCGGCAGGACCACACCACTCTCTGGGACAGCCTGTTCATGCTCAGGGCTCACCAGGGCCATATCCAGAGCAAGGAGCCAGCTCTGCTCTTATTGCAGCCAGGGCGATGGCAGGGGCAGGGGACCCACGTAGGGATGTGGCGCAGCAGCACCTGCCCCATCCCATGGGCTTCTCCTGCATCCCATTCCCAGGCTCACGGGCACAGCCAAGCTCCTCAGGGCTAGCTGGCTGGATGCACCAGCTCTTATCTGTGCAGCCCAGGGAAAAAAAGGGGAGAAAAAAAGGGGAAGAAAATAAAAGAAAAAAAGAAACAAGAAGAAAAAAAAGAAAAAAAGGAGAAAAAAAGAAGAGAAAAGAGGAGAAAATGAAAAAAGGAAAAAGTAAAAGGAGAAGGAAAAATAAAAGAAAGTACAAAAGGACAAGCCTAGAAACAAATAAGAGACATAGCCTTGGATCCCAGCCACAAGAATAAAACAAACCAACAGAGAAGAACAAATTAAGAACACGAAGCTCCTTGGTGATGTGTCCACTTCAGCGGGGGTCAGGCCGCAGACACACCAGGGACAAAGGCTGGATGCTACACAGGGCCCGACATTTCCGTAATCTGAGAAGGGACCAGTGCGTCTCTGCCCTCACCTTCTCAAAGCTTTTCAGTGTAACCTCGTACACCAGCTCAGCATTCGCCTGGATGCCATATTTTGGCTTCCCCGCCTCTCCAAAGCCATACCTGGACGGCAGAAGGAGGCAGTCAGAGGATGAGGGAAACCCTTAATTTCAGCAGCCCTCGGCCATAAATGCAGGCTCGGGTTGCCAATTCTGTTTTCACATCCAAGCTCCCTGCCCACAGCTTACTAACATTTTGGGGCCAGGGTGATGTTATTCTCCACAAGCAAAGATACCCGACAATATAGAATGCATTATATATTGGGAATCAGCCCTTCTGGCTGCATCAAAGCCATCTTTTTACACAGGTTTCTTCTCCAGCCTAAGGACCCAGCCCTGGCAATTTCCAGGGAGACATCAGACACTGGACTTGGATAAAGCCCTTTTACCCGATTTTTTTAAAGCATCTCAAGATTCTTGCCTGCACACCACTGGTCTCTCTTACTATTCCTGATGGCATTGCTAACCTGAGACTCTCCTGGTGAGTTCTGTTTTCAGGACAGCCATCTTCCATAAGTGCTAAAACAATGCTGGAAGCTGAAACCCACATAGCATCCCTGCGGGGATGATCCTTACCGTGGGCTGAGGTAGAGGATGCAGTGCTCTCCCCTCTGCATCTTCTCTAGGGCCTTGTCGATGCCGATGGGGATGTCGTGGTCCTCTCCTTCGCCCACAATGAACTTCACGTCTTTGCAGTCAAATCTGCTGCCGCCACAGAATCCCTCCAGATGAACTGTAGGGGGACAAGAGCAAATGTGGTAGGATCGCACCCACAGTTACCCAAACTTTGATGCAATGTGGGCTCCTAAGTATCTTTTAGAAAGTATTTTTATCTCTCGCAAAATCCAGCAAAGCCTCCAGCTCTGGAAGAGAGAAGACAAAGGGCTGGGGGCAGCCAAGGACCTCCTGGTGCAGAGAGGGATAGGGAGGGCTTAGGAACATTGCTGAAAAGCAAGGCAGGCATATCTTGTCTAACCAAGGACCAAAACCCAGATAAACATCATGACTAATATGTTCCCCTCGTACTCAACTGCACGAGTCAAGTCTTACTGGAACTGGATATTGCTCCTGGCATGCTGCCAAGCAGAGTTTATCACGGTGATTACAAATCTTCTATACAGCACTATACTGCCTTGACTTCTACCTCGAAAACAAGGCCATGTTCTCCTGACTCTCAGAACTCAAAGTACAAGATAAACTTTTTATTTTTAATCTTCAACCAGTAGCAGTGCTGTTCCAGCCCCAGACACTGGCAGAAGTGCAGCCAGAGTGGACACTGGGTACCTGGCACATCCACCACCTGGCACTCCTGGCTGCGTTTCCACAGCAAGGTTATTCTTTATTTATTCAATCCTGAAGATGGTCCAGGCTTTGGGGACGCTTTTACGGTCTTTGCATTCTGCTTGCAGGGTACAGGGCAAAGATATGCAGGCAGGCACAAAGTAAAAGCAAACTCCTACATAGTGTTAAAAAAAATGAAACAAACAAACAAGCAAAAAAAGCTTTTTAAGAGGAAAAATTCACGATGGGCATTCCCGTTATCACAACTGTGCTTAGAGATTTCGTGGCCTGCAAGGATGTGAGCCTAATCTTTGCTCGGAGAGAGCAGGATGCTACCTGAGATGCTACAGGGCACTGACCATCCCACTGTGGTGGCAGGAGGTGAGCAGCAGGACAAGCCAAAGCAGACACTGCACCAGAAACAGCTATGAGGGTCTGGGCCCTGCATTGGACAGCTGCAACCTGGGCTGAAGGAAACCTGCCCATCTCCACCTCACGGTGCTGCCCTGCCCTGGGGCCTACAGGAAGTCCCCAGTATGAGACCACAGACCAGGCAAGCCCACAGGCAGTCCCCCATTTCTACGGCAGGTTCAACCCTTTAGCTCCTGCCACCAAAGCCATGCTGGGACTCAAGCGTGGAGGAGCAGAGGATGCCAGCTTCCCTGGATGCATCCTGCACCCATCACTGGTGCACAGTGACCACCAGGCTCAGGCTGGTGTGAGCTCACCCACCTTGGGATGAGGACAAAATGCAAATCCAGCTCCTACAGAGCCAACCTCTGCTTTTGCACTATCCAATACCAATCTGCCTATTTCCTTAGGCATAGGAAAACTGAAAAGTTCTGCCTAAAATACAGGTAACCCAGCAACCCCACAGCACCATGCCATCTCCCTCCATGTTCCTAGGGAGTACAGATCCATAATCCCTGACCTCAAAAGCAGTACTACAGCCCTCCCAAGTTCCACACCCTCTGTGGGATGTGGCAGCAGTAGGAAGATTCCACGTTAAAATAGGATCCACAAGAGGATGCCGTGATCCTTCCTTTCAAGGACACTTTTTCACCATTTTAATTGCACATAAAATAAGGCAAGCAAAGGGGGAAAAATCTCCACTCAGGTTTCCAGGAGCAGGTCAGCTGGTTGCAGTTGCTCTTGGATTACAGAGAAAAAAAAGCCACTGAAGGAACATCACTCTAGTTGCAGCTCTGACTTATTGTTCTCTTGGTGCCTGCAGCGATTTTGTTTTTGAAGAGCTGAGAACAGAGTGTACTGAGTGCGGCTGGCACACGAACTTGATGTGCTGACAGCAATTTGTACTCAGATTAAAATGGAGAAGGAGGAGGGGTGGGGGGAAAGGATGTAACAAAAGCTGGAATGCCAGATTTTGACTGCAGCCCAGGTTTTAGGGATCAGAACTGTGAATTAAGGTCTACAAAACTTAAAACCTATAAAAACCTGGAGATATTTCCTCCTGGAAGCATGGTTTCTTCCAGTCTCATTCCAGCACCTCCCAAATACACAGCTGAGCGATACCATTGCTGCCCTCCTAGATCACAGCCTCATCCCAGGGTGGGCTGCCATATCCCTGCAGCTGCTATGCCATCCCCAGCATAGTGCCCACCATAAACAGAGTTGCATTTGTTACAAAAAAAACCAAAAAACAACAACAACAACCCAACGATTAAAAAAACCAACAAAATCTATTTGCATCCAAAACATTTACTGCAAGGCTGCCTTCTCCTTGTCCTGTTTCATGGGGATGTATTTAAGCGTCTCAGGGCTCTGAACATATAAGGATGTGTAGGTCTCAGTGAATTAAGGGCCACAGCAGCTACAACCAGAAAGGCTGGCAGGGCCGGTGGGCTGCCATAGGGATCAGCCCAGCATTCCCCATCCCTGCCCTACACGGGCAGTGCTGGTTCCGCAGGATGGCCTGGCAGGGCATCCATCTCCATGATTCTGATACGCGTGTGCTCCCGCTCACAGCATTTGCTCCAATGGACACTTTAATTTGAAACAAGTAAAGCAAGGATAATGGGCTGTGGGACATTGGTGCATGGGGAGACTCGTTATTTGGCTCTTTATGTCCTTTCAGAGAGATGATTCCTGGCTGATGACCTCCACGAGGAGGAGATGGTAGAGTTCTGAATCCCCATGGGGCTTTGCTTCTTCGATCCTCCCCACAGATGCTCGCTGAGCATCTCTGGGCTCCGGGTTTTCCAACCAGCCCTCCAGGGCAGCAGCTCTGGCAGAGCCATCACAGGGACCAGCCAAGGAGAGCTCAGAGGTGCATCCCTGGGTCAGCAGTGCACTGCTGCTCTCCCAGCCCCTTTCCACCCCATCTAACCTCTGGATGTATGTAACTGCATCCTATCATGATGCATGGTCACCTACAGCATGTACAGTAGGTCCTTGCCAGGGAGAAGAAAGTGGGGTGGCTCAGAACGGGCTGATCCCTCCAGCTCCCCTACAAGGGATTAGAACTCACTCTCCACAGTAGCACCTTCATTAGGGTTGGAGTAACCTTCCCCCTTTCTCTTGATCCTTCGGATTATTCCTCCATCCTCAAACAAGTCTTCGCCTTTGAAGTCAAGCAGCTCAACCTAAAAAAAATAAAGAAAAAGTGGGCAGAGCTTAGTGAGGGGGGAAGGAGAAGGGAAAAACAGAGCCACAAAGCAGCAGTTCATCCTCTGGCTGCAGAACCAAGCCAGCTAATTCTCCATTCAGCCGAGGAGCAGAAGTTGTCCATAAAATCCAGCTCCAAACCACAGCATAATATACACGATTTATTAGAAATTGGGGCACATCCAGTACCTGAAGCATAACACAAAGTAACAGTAAAAATAAGCTTATTAAACCTGTAAGGGTACAACACAGCTACTGCTGGAGGATGCTGTGAAAGTTGCGTGAGACCAGGTTAGGCAGGAGTTTCCCCTTCGTTCTCTGATGGGACCAACTCCAACCCACAGCTTAGTCCACACTCGACTTGGAAGGACTAAGCCTTAATTTAGGACAGACCCATTCCTCCTGTCTTGTCCCAACGAGCCTGGCCCAGGAGGAATGCCTCATCCCAGCAACCACACTGTGCCAAAAATGTGGCATTCCTACCGCACACAGCACTAATCATTTTTTAGCATCTGGAGGCATTTCCTAGCTGCTTTCTCCTTCCCCTGTCCATGTTTAAACCAGGGATCTGCCCACTCCCTGCCCCGGCATCAGGGCTCTCCTCAGCCGGAGTTTCAGTCCCAGCCTCCCAGCTCAGACACACATTTCTGAGAAAACCCTGGCAGCAGTTCCTGGAGCAGAGGGACACACTTCAGGAATCTAAGCTGGGTTTTTTGTTGTCGGGGTTTTTTTTAATTATTATTATTATTTCTAAGATGGTTAGCAAGGCAGGAAGGGAGTGAGTGAGCTCATCTGTGCGCCAGCATTACTTACCTCAAAAAAGAGGGTGGCATTGGAGGGGATTTTGGGGGCACTGCCAGCAGAGCCGTATGCATAATCGGGTTTGCAGAGCAAGTAGCAGATCTCTCCTTTCTTCATGGTAGCTACCCCAATGTCCCATGCCTTGATTACCTGACCTAGGAGAGAGGCAAATGTCAGGCAGGAGGGAGCAACCATCAGCCCAGAAAAAAAAACAGCCTGGGTGCTGCAAGGATGGCACCCAAAAAAACCCCATACACCCAAGCCATTTAGGGCAGGGCCGACATTGTCCACCTGTACTGAAATAGGGTCAGTTGATCCCACCAGAATGATCCCACCTGCTCCCACTGGGATCATCCCACCTTCCAGAATCCCCATGGATGAACATCCCTGGACCAGCTTACCCTTGCCCAGGCTGAAGACAAAGGGCTCGTTCCGATCGCGGCTGGAGTCAAATTTTTTACCATTGGCCAGTTTGCCTTTATAGTGGACATAAACCTTGTCCCCAATCATGGGAGACTCGTCTTCACTCCCAGGTCGTTTAATGATCTGTGAGAGAGAAACCACCCATGAGCAGGGGCCATGGGACAGCTGAGGATACATACGGAAGGTATGAGAGAGACACACATACATCTACATAAACATCTATATATGTATATATATATACACACATGCATAAACACTACAGAGCTGCTCTAAACAAACGGAAGGCTCAAGCGGGAGTCATTCAATTCATCCTTCCATCAGGCCCTAAAAAATCCCAAACCAGAGCCACGGCAACGGAGTGGGACAGGGCTGGGAGTAGAGACCTGCCTGTACTTTGCGGAGGCGTCTGGATAAACACCGTGGTTCGAAACCCGAAGTGAATCCAGTTACGCTCACCTTCTATCCGTACACATTTTACTCGCAGGGGTGTGTCTGTTCACTACTCGCTTCTTGTCAACACTTCTTTTTTTCTGAACACTACAGCCTGGAACAAGCAGTTCTCAACTGAGGATGGAGCAGGGGAGGATGCTATTCTTAGAGGAAAGGTGCTATTTAACTGGCAAAGAGCAATAGCTGGGGAGCAGATCTATCCAGAAATGGCTCTGAATATGAAAAGGGGTTGTGGAGCAGACTGGATGACCTCAGTAATGTGCTCTTTCTAATGTCTATGAGTCACATACAAAAATTCTTTGTGGATTTACAACTAATAATCTGATTAGGAACACAATAGCAGTGAAATTCATGGAGCAGCTCAGTCTCAAACACCCCTCCCATCCTTCTTCACTCCAACTGATGCCTTTCAAATGAAAGAATTCAATCCTACAGCCCTGAAAGTACTATGTGACCCCAGCAATGTGACCATGCATCCAAAATGCAGAAAGAAAGGCAAGACATTCTTAGAAGCCCCCCTCACCTTCAGAACCCCTCGGTCTTGAGCCGGTGTGATGTCCTCCCCGCGCTCAGTGAGGGTCACTGCCTGCACCTCCCCTTCACTCTTGGTGGCCTCATCAGTGGTCATGGTCTCCTTGCATAGGCACTGGACCTGGGGAGACACAGCATGCACCCCATCAGCCCAGCAGGACCATGAAAGGTGGTGTAAAAGGAAAGGGTTTATCACCCTTCATGGAAACACAATGCATAGCAAGCATCTTCTCCAAAAAATAAAGTAAACCCAACACCAAAAGAATCCCAACTATCTGGGTGGATAAAGAGAAAATTCACAGCAAGAATCTAAGAACTGTGAGTTTTTGGGCAAAAAGCCACGTTTTCCATCAAACACAGACTTTTTCCTACAGTTCCTGGTGAAAAAGGAATTGCCTACGGTTTCAAAAACAATATCCTGATGATTTCCCTCAGACCGTAAGGTTATTTTGGTAGTTGCGCTGCTGCATGATACGTCATCAAGGAAACGTGACAGAGATTTGGAAAGCAAATTTTTTTCCGAAATAAACCAGATCTATTAAAGTCACTCTAATTGCAAAACTTTCCCCCAGTCTCTAGTGTGGAAGCTGATGTTAACCAGCAGGAGAAATCATTCATTTGGGGGATTCAGAAAGAGCAGAGAAAGGATGTTTTCAGCTCCAAGGGCAGCTAAGTCGTGTTGCAAGAAAAATTGTGTTCCTCACACCCGAGTGGAAATGGAAGAACTGGAGCCCAGCCCCGCCCAGCACAGGAAGCCACCGAGACACAAAGAGCTCTGCAGTGGAAGAAGCAAAGAGAAAAATAAGGGAACTACTTATTGCAATACTCAACTATCACAGTCTTTGGGGTGATATTTAACTTTCCTCTGCCCTGCTGAGGTTTCAGATGGGAACATCTTAAAAAAAAAAACAAACTGAAAAAGCAACTTGTGGTGAGATCCACAAGTATCTGAGTATCTTGCAGGTACTCATATACTGGAAAACATGCCATCAGTTACTTTGGAAGAAATGTTTGATGATGCGGGTGGTGAAGCACTGGCACAGGTTGCCCAGAAAGGTGATGGCTGACGCATCCCTGGAAATATTCCAGGTCAATTTGGACAGACCTCTGAGCAACCTGGTCTAGTGTCCTTGCTTGTGGTGTCCTTGCTTGTGGTGGGGAGGTTGGACTAGAAGGCCTTTAAAGGTTCCTTCCAACCCAAACCCTTCCATGATTCTATGATTCTGGTGCTGGGACGGTCTCTAAGCCCTCACAGTTCACACTGCCCTACCACCACCATGGCGTTCCTCTTGGAGACAAGCAAGGAGGTAGTGGCACCCATCATGGCATGGGCATGCCATTGGCACTGTGTACCAGCTCAGGGCTTCCTGGCACAGATCCTGTGCAGCACCAGGGATGCAACATCCATAACCTATTTATTAAGGACCAGGAGAAACCTGAAAAGGGGAGAAGCTTGACAAAGATTTTCCTGGGGCAGAATCTCCCAAGGTCCACCAAACAGCCACCACTGGGATGCAGAAGACAGAAGGGGAGGTGCTGGCTCTGGCTTGCGGGTTGCTAAATCCCACCAAGACACATCTAAAAATACACCATACACATCCTTCTCATTACTTTTCTACGTAAGCAATTAGAGGAGTCATCCAGGGAAGCTGGCCAAGGCGAGCAGGAGGGGAGACGCTCTGCGTCAGAAGCAATGGGAGGGATGGAGCCCACAAGACCAGCTATTTAGATGTGGTCCACATTATAAAAGAGCTCATGACTTCTCTGTCCAGCAAAAACAGTTCCAACTAGGTTAGAGAAAAGAGCATGCTGCTCCCACTTATATCCCATTTGGAACAACAGAAGGAGGCCGGCTGTTGTCCAAAACCCCAATTAGTTGAAAACAAACAGTTGTAGGGCAAAAAAATATCTGCTACTCCCCAAGACTTAAATGCCAAGCAGACAGGGATGTCACTGAGAGCTGAGCAAGTCTGCTGGTGGTGTCAGAGCCTGAATCTTCTCATTGCAGGATCATGTGTACTCTGGATACAGGAAGGGAACTAATTATTTATCCCGTACAAAAGCCCACGGGTGCTTCTGACACAACAAGCACATTCTGCTTTCCCACTGCTGCTACTACACACAAGTTAATGTAAGTCTGTAAATGATGCCAGGATAAACTATCCTCCCTCCTGCTTCATTTCCCTGGAATATAAATCTGGACAGGTAGGAGAAGCAGAGAAATCCGTATCATAAAAACAAGCCACTTAATTTTACAATTCCCTCTCCACACAGGTGTTGCTATCTTCCAATCCAGAGAAACAGGTGAAAATTCAGAGCGGAGAACGGGATGTAGATGTCTGACCCCAGGCTGAGGACAGGCAGGTATCACACATGTTAGAGTTTCACCAACCACACGATCCTGATCCCAAGCCACGTTTCCTAGAAATCAGCATACCAGGAATTTGCCAGCTCCAAATGGAAACTTCATGTTGCAGATCCCTCTCAGAGGCTCTCAGAAGGGGAAACGGCGGAGGAAGAGCAAGGCTGGGGAGTGTTTTGAGCGGTCTTACCTTGCCACCATGCAATTGCTGGAGAAAGATTGAAGGTCCAGGAAGAGTCTGGGGAGGTGTTCAGCCAGAGATACAGTGGGAAAATACCTGGTAAGAAGAGGTGGGGGTGGAAGAGAAAGAAATCACATGTGTTGTATTCTAAAAGAGGATTACGGGATTTAAGAAGAAGGGAGAACTGAGACAGCAGTTTCAAGCCACAGATGATGCTCCACCCTGGTCAGAGAGGGGTGATGAGACTACGGCCAAAACTTCCTATGGCAGCTCTTCTGCTCATTGCAGCCACGGGAAGATGTTTTGACTTGCTGTTTCCACAAATAGTGTTTAGCATCTTACCATCTGCTTTTAAAAAAATAAACCAAGGCTATATTCAGTCCAATTTTTTTACTAGGATGAAAATTAGCAGGATGGAAAAATAAGAGTTGGCTGCTCTGGCATTTAGTTTTTTAAGACTCACTTAGCACAAAGTGCTTTCACTTCCATGGCACCACAACAGCCTTCAGATTGCAACAAGGGAGGGAGTTTCTTTTAAATGCAAAGGTCAGGCTAAAGAAAAAACAAAGCTAAATGCACAGCGGGAAGATGTGGGGCCATGAATGCTAGTGAGCATCACCCCAAATCCCAGCTCCACAAGCTGTGCAGCAGCATGGGACTGCACCTCCATCCTCAGCACATCTGCCAACTGATAATGAAGCACAATCCAATTAGCATAGCAGCTGGCTCTCTCCACTTTCCCTTTGAACACAAGAACTACTTTTTCTGGTAAAATATCTTCTTGCTGAGCAAACTGCCCCTTTGCAGCAGGAGAGGGAAGATTGGAGCAGCGATTTTACCCAGATGAGAGTGCTTTAAGACACCTGCAATGCCAGCCTGCTGAGAACAGACCCAGAAGACGGTGATAATAAATTCAGATTGCGATTACTAAGAAAATGTGACCTTCTTAAGACCAACAAGGCAGCTCCACATAATCCTCAGCTCCATCCCAACACATAAGGACGCACCCAGACATTGAGTGCCATTTCTCACACTCACACATCACAGCTTAATTAACTTTTTTTCTTTTTTTAATCCTGGCCACTTGACTTTCTCCCCTCTCCTTTAAAATAGACAGGGAAGCCATACAATTGAAACTATTACTCAGGTGGATCAATTTACTTCCTAGCACGCACACTGTGCAAACAGCCAACATCCCAGCAGGCCAGGCATGGCAACTTTTCTTCAAACAAAAAACCAAAATGCAAACAGAGCTGCTTTAATTGCCCAGCACCCTAACAAACTTCCATCATGCCCAGGGTGAGCCCTGACTCACTAGGGAGTGAAGCAAACTCCCTGGTCTCCTTTATCTATGGCCAGTCCCTGCTCCAGGTTTAACACCTTCTTCCCATGGAGACTCCAGTATCTCCCAAGCTTCTCCCAAGCAAAACAGTGCCACCCATTCCACAGGGACATCTCAAAGGAGGATGCAGTCACCAATCACCTCCCAGGAAGCAGAAGGTATCAGTCTATTAACAGAAGAGCAGCAGCAAGGGAAGGTTTTTAAACAATGAAGAGTAACAAAGTGAGAAAACTACTGCATGCAACTAACTTAAATACAACAATGTATGTTCCCATCACACTTGCTTAACCATTCTGCTAATATTTTTAAGCTTCTGAAATGATTTTATTTAAGATCCAAGTCATAACTATCTTTTTTTAAAATATGTGAAATAAGAGGCTGCCCTCAATTTCAGCTGCAGCGAGAGGAACAAGTGAGCAGGATAGGTCACTAATCCCTGCCAGAAAAAATATTTCAGGCGAAAGCAAGTTGGGTTCAGTCTCTCTGCATCCCCTAGAGTGAGGCAAACACACCCAGGCCAACAACACACAAAAGACTTCCAGAGAGGGGTGGTTTTATCTGCCCAGTTTACGATATAAACCCATTAAAAATAATCTGCCTCTTTTGCTGGTTATCTAGCAAGGCAACAGCAAGGAAATGCTTGCTTGGTAGTTTTTCCAGATGGTTTCAAAATAAAAAGAATCAGAGAGATAAAATTCCTTTGAACTCTCTTGCGAGCATTCTATCGGCAGCCTGTGGTCCATCTCCTCCAGTGTGGGGACCCAGAGACAAAAGCCTTCTGCTTCCATGTGAAATGGAAAAAAAAAAAAAAAGGGCAGTATTTTCTTTTCTCTTAAAAAATGAATGTACACTGGGGAAAATAAAAGCCATAAGCATTTATGGGTTCTTGCTCTTCCAAGGGAAGAAGGTGCTAAGGATAGGATGCAGATGAGGATCTTTTATACCCGATGTTCTACAGCTCCTGGCCCCCAAAGCCATCCCTGGCCCCAGCATAGATTTCAGCTGCTCCCACCACAAAAATCACAGGAGGACTCTGCCACAGGCAATAGATCTGAAAAATACTAGAAAAAAGAGGAATGCAGGAGCCAGCAGCAAAGCCTCTGCTCTGCATCAGCAGGGAGAGGCACCAGCCTGCACCCCTCCTGCTCCTGAAGGGCTGACACAGCTTTCGATGATAGCTAAAAAAAAAATAATTAGGGAAATATGGTAACAATACATGTATAAATAGCTATTCCACACCTTGGGAGATGGCTGGTAGAAGGGCCAAGCGCTTCATCCTAACAAGCTGAGAGGCCATTATATAGAGACACTCACATCACAGCGGGGAATGCAATTTCCTAAAGCTTTCATAAATTAGGATTATGTAACTGTATGGGAAAAAAATATAATAATATAGACAAGGAGGTTACATAAACCATCTGTAAAATGTGAGAAAGTACTTGACATCCCACTACCCACTCCTTGGCAAGCTCTAACTGGGTCTTTTGCCATCAAAAATAAGCAGGCTCCTATCAATCATGTCTTCTCCCCTGGTCCAAACAACCAGGGAGAAAAGACCCAGCCAGGCTTTTTGGAAGGAAATATTTCACCTGTGGCTGAGATGTGAAATTTCCCTCCCCATACAGCACACTCCAGTGAAGTCCAAGCCCTCCGCAGATGACTCGAGGCAACCTCCTGGCAGCAACTACGTCAATGCTGAGCAAATTCAATTTCAAGGGACAGCTTGGGGGGACTAAAATAAATACAAAATGGGAATAAACAAGAAGCTCCTTGTTTGCCAATTCCGTCTTGATTTAGTCTTTTCTCCAGAATAAACCTGACAATTAAAGTTAGATTTCATTTTTTTTCTTCCATTTTTAAAAGCATTTCATTGCTTGCAACAGATTTCAGGCTTTCTCCAAGAAACTATAAGCCACGTGACTCCAAATGGCAGCACCCCCAGCAGTGCAAATGCTGTATTTAATCACTTATCTCCATGCACAAGGGCTCGGCCGCACCTCGAGAGCCCAGTGCTGAATCCCAATGGGGGATCCCCAACTCAGCATCCAGCACTGCTGCCAGCAGTGCTGGCACCCAGAAATAACTCTGCACACAAGGCCATCCGCACCAATGGTCTATAAATGCCAAATTATTTTGGGCAAAATGCAATTCCCAGCATGTTGTGAAACACCAGCTTGTTCCAGTGCCAAATCAGGATTTCTTGGAGAGGAGAAGGAAATGTCCCAAGTGGACAAACTGCGGGAGGGGGTCCAGGGTGGTCATCGCTGTGGGACACTGCGAGGTGCAGGCAGGGTCAGCCCTTGGGCAGAAGGAGGATTGAGGACTGAGGACGCTGCAGCTTTGGGGATGATGCTGGACCACCGCCAGGGCACTCAGACCCCTGCCTGCCCAGAGGAGCAAGAACATGCACATGAATATGCACATGATCACGCATGGGCACACATACACACTCGTGTGCATCACTTGAGGGTGGGAAAGGAGTCTGCATCCCACCAGGGCTCCTTGCTGGGATGGGGGTCACATCCCAGAGATGATGCTATTTGCCAGGCGGTGCCTCCTAGAGCTCATTTTATTAAGCGATCACATTTAACTTAAATCCAAAAGTACTTGAAATAGGAATTTTTTAATGAGGCTATTTGCTATTTGCAAAGACGGGACATTGCAGGCAGAAGATGATTTAATTGCAGTCCCTCATCATCCCAGCTCTTCACTTCTGACAGATACTTTGATATTATTTTCCTAATTTTCCAACACACTCACTTGCATAATCAGAAATCCTTAGTAATCACTATTACTAGTTACGGAAAAAGCTTGTTGGCTCCATGACAAATAAATTACATGAACAACTTGTACGTTAGAGCACTCATGACCACTTATTTACACCCACAAACAGAGAGCACTAAAATAAAAGTAAACCTTTGCTGAGTAATTGCTATTTCCCTGTGATATGCATGAGATCTGTATGAGTTTTGCAGCTCCCTCAAGGGGCTGAAACAATTTTATATAAATACATATAACTGAGAGTGACTGTAAAATAAAGTATAAAAAAGTATAAAAGGATAAATAACTGAGGATAAATTATTCTCCAATTCTCCCTGAGGCAGCCTGGGAGCCACAACCAGACAGAAGATGGTCTTGGTGCTGAGCATCTCAAACCTTCTGCAAACTTTCTCCTTCTGCAATCAGGTAATTAAAACACATCTAATTACACAGCAGTGACGTTCCCAAAGGATGCAGTGTGGTTTTTATTCAGGAATTGTCCTTATTTTCTGCCTCATCCCAGTGGGAAGATGCTCTAACAGTGTTGGGAAAGGACCTCAACATGGGCAAATACAACCTTGGGAAGCAGAAATTATTTCTTTTTAATTTTTTAGAAAAGAAGAAAAAATAATTGCCCAAGCAGTGATCCCAGTATACACCTCTGCTCTGGGCAGGATGGGCACCATGAACAGCCCCCATCATGCCAGCCTTCCCCACTGGACCCCCTCCAGCACCAGTCCCGCTCCATTCTCCAGGCCCAAAGCCACCAGAGAGGCCACATGATTTCACCCCTCCCCAGGCATTTCAGCAGAAGCAATAACTTCTCCACCAACTCTCCAGAAATCTGCTTTTCTCAATGCCACCAAATATTTTCCCTAGCACAAGCCCCACCTGCTCCACCACCTCAAGCCCACAGAAAAGCCCCCGGCCACCCCATCCTCCACCAGCACCCCTCAACCACTGGCTCCTGTGAGCACCTAGTTCCATCCCAGCCTTGCCTTCCCCTTCCTGCATCACACAAGTTGCTGTCATCAAGCTGCAGGGCCAAGGACTAGCATACCTCCAAAGACCAGCATCCCCCCTCTGGGCTGCAAACTCTCAGCACCACTGGGAAGTTATTCCTGCTCAACCCTCCACTCCTGGCACATCCCCTGGCAGCAGTTCCCTCTCCATCAGCGGCATTTCTGTCCCCGCTCCCCCTAGCAGTTTCGTCCCATCTTCAGAGTACCAGACTGGAAATAAAACCCAAGTATCTCCAAATGGTAGCATTGCCATCCAAATCAAACCCATCACACCTTCAGGAAAATAGCCCATAAAAGCCAGATACAGGCTCTGCCAGATGCATTTGATTATTTTCTTCTCCCCAGCCCTTCAACAGTGCAGGGAAAGAGGCAGG